AGCAATCAAGTTGATTTATTTTTGGCATTTTGTTTTTTAAGCAAAGGAAAACCAAACATATAACAGCACAAGGTAAGTGAGAAAATATTTTTATGCTCTGGGAGACGAACGCTGCTTTCCTAATGACACACTGGATCCTGACGATGAAGTCAGTGGTGTCCAGTATCCCGGGTCTAATGTTTTGGGTTTGTCACCTAGCAACAATCTCTTAATGTCCAAGCTGTGCCGTCTTCAGAGCTCAGCCTGGCCATGGAGTCACGGGCTCTGAAAACCCTACCTCAATGCCCACAGCACTCCTTCCGTTAGCCCCTGGACTTTACGAGCAAATAAGCCCCCCCCCCCCCCCCAGGCTCTGCATGTATCTCAGAAGCTGTCTGCAGCTTCTGCCTTTTCCTCATGGTTGGGAGACTTCCCTTCTCTCCATTTAACAAAGAAAACATCTTCAGCAGGCACAGTAGCACAGGTCTGTCGTCCCAGATACTCAGAAAGCTGAGGCAGGAGGATCACTTGAGCTCAAAAGTTTGAGACCAGCCTGAACAGTATAGTGAGGCCCATCTCTTTGAAAAAAAAAATGTAGCTAGGTGTGGTCATGGGAACCTTTAGTTCCAGCACTTTATGAGTTCCAGGCCAGCTGGGGCTGCATACTGAGACCCTGACTCAAAGAAAGAAGGAAAACGTCTCATTATGTATGGATTATGTCAATTTCTCTTTCCATGCAAAGGTGACTGCATGCTACTTGTACCTTTTCCCTTAAGGAATGCCCATGGATCTACTTATGTGATCTAACCACTACCTCCCTCTTCATAGCTCTGCTCTAGGCAACTCACTGTCTATTGGTGGACACTGTGATGCCTTCCAACCCTTGTTGCTACAGCAACGACTAATATCCTTCCTCAACAGTCATTTGGTATGTGGATACATGGGTCTGCAGGAGAAATGCTGATAAGTCGAATCATTGGGTCAAGTGTATATAAAGTTTGATACTGAGCCAGGCACAGGTGTGCACCTGCAACCACTGATGAGCTGGAGGCAGGAGGTCACTTGAGCCCAGAGCTTGAAGTCAGCATGGGTAGCAGCAGCAAGACCCCCCTCTGACGACATATTTTTGATCATTACAATCCCCATATCCTCCTTTCCCAGTCATCGCAATCCAAATGCCCCCACTGCACCAGATCGGCTTCCGCCTTCCTCCGCCTTTATCCAGGCGGCCCGAGGACGGTTGCAAAAACCAAGTTTCTCACTCTGGTTTCTACATGTGTTTTGCTCCCTTGACTGCAGTATGCGGCTCTTCACGTAGGGAGAGCTGGATCGTGCGGTTTCCCTTCCCTGCACATGCTCTGACCTTGGCCCATCTTCCCTTGATGGTTTGCGGCAGCTCTTTGGGAAAGGAGCCCTTTGTGACACAGGTTGCCAATGTTTCTCCCCCTGGCTTGCCCTGCACTCCAGCCTGTTTTGCCAAGACGACACAGCATGTAATTATATAACTGAATTTCTTAATCTCATCTTTTATGATGTCTGGGGCTGTGAGCTGCTAAACAAGCCTCCTCCACACCAAGATTATAAATAAAGTTGCTCGTGTTTTTCTTCCTCTTTGTGGCCTTATTTTTTTACACTTAAATCTTTGAATCATCTGGAATTTGTTGTCACATAGGAGCGAGATCCAAGCATATTTCCTTCCAGCTGGAGACCCAGCTGTCCTGAAACCGTGATCGTCATTCCCCAGACACAGGAGCCTGCTGATAGTTCAGTGCCTGCTGGAAAACCTGCATCCCACCTACAGTGATCCTCCCTGGCTGTGGTATTTCTAACTCTGTTTTCCTACCCATCTTCCTTAGCATTCTGCTTTGCCTGTAGGAGCATGGTCATTTCAGTCCTCCACCCGTAGAGAAGAGCGCTGGGAATGGAGGAGAAAAGCAAGCTCCCCAGACACTCAGATCCCATAGATACAGTGATGCCGAATTTGCATAGAACCTACGCATCATCCCCTCCTGTAGGCTTCAGCCATCTCTACGTGCCTAACACAGTGATGCTCTGTACACTGTGCTTAGGGAGTAACAGTGAGGAAGACTGCATGCATAATCGGCACAGACCCAAGCGCTCTCGCATCCTCTTGATCTGCAACTGGCCGGCTCTGAGGCAGGCTGAGTGCGCCACGCCTGCACCTGAGCTGGTGGGATTTAGGGGGCATTTCCATTCAGGCCACCAGAGCTCTCAGAAGTCCTTTCCCAGCCCTCTCACAGATGAGGCTCTGTACGTCCTGGATTGCACTTTTCTATCCTCCTCCTTAGTCAGGAGGTGGTGACAATGGAGGGGTACCCAGAGAGGCAAGGCAAGGGGGCCAGGGACGACCGTCCACTCCTGCGACAATGGCTCCACAGGGTCCCCTAAAGCCTAGCTTCCTTCAGGGTAAGCTGCCCCAAGGGTGGATGGGATGACTACAAGGACAGCTCATCAGCGTGCTAGATACCGTGGAAGAGGAGGTACAGGGGCCTGAAGCTATCTGACCCGGCCAGTGGCAGAGGGGAGGGCCCCACCAGACCCAGTCACTCCAAGTATGGGGGCTCACCAACCAGTTCCCTCCCTGCCCTTTCCTGCTTTCAGGTGCGGTCACGGAAGACACTAGTGTCGGCCTGCAGCAGGAAGAGCGTAGCCTGACTTTCCGTGGAGGATGCCAGAGTGGAGAACTCCCCACTGCCCTCCAGCTTTGCTCTTTCCTGTCCCTGTCATCTCAAGGCAGTAAGACTCAAGAGGCACAAGATCTGACTCCACGCTTCCTCTTCAAGCACTTATTAGGACTATGCCCTGCAGCCTTGGCCAGAGCCACAGGAGACATGCCTACAGAGGACTTGAGACTCGCTGTGTGGTACCAGTGTGTGTTTGAGCTTGGAGTGGCCTCTAGGAGGCCTGCCTCGACTCCAGCACTGTTTCCCTGAAGAGCCAGGATGTGTCACAGAGGGTGCCCCCACGTGGGCCCACTGGCACATGGGTGGAGCTGTGAAAAGGGATGGACCTCGCGTCGTGAACTTGGCCTGAAGAGCCGCCAAGTCAAGGAAGGGTCTAAACTTCACACTAGGGCAGCCTGAAGGGCGGGGTAATTGGTGTGTGTGTGTGTGTGTGTGTGCGCGCGCAGTTCAAGAGAACCGACAAAATCAGCCCCAGGTGACCCAGGACATCGTTCACACCCTAGCTGCTCCCTCTCTACGACTACTCAATCACTGGTTCACCCAGCTCTTCCTTTTCATTAGCATCTTTCCTGATCCATCTGAGGCCTTCCCTGTCAGCCACTGCAGCGCGCCTGTCGGGCACCACGCCCCTCACTGGAACCCGCTCCTCAGGGTGCCGCCATGGAAGGTGGTGGAGCCTTTGAAGGTGGGGCCCTGCCGGACGACTTGAGGTCACTTAGGTGTGCTCCTGAAGGACTGTGGGACTCTGATCCCTTCCCTTTTCTCTCTCTTGCTGCCTAGTAATGAGGTTTTCCTCTGCCACGTGCCCCCGGACCACTGCCATCTGCAACCCGGCTAGAGCCTAAAAGCAATAGGTCTGCCTGATCATAGACCGAAACCTCTAAAACCAAGCCAACTCTTTTTTCTTTTAAGTTCGTTATCTCAGGTATTTGTTTTTATTTACTTATTTCGTGTATGATGTGGTAATCTTGGATACGGAGGTCAGGGGACATTTGCTGGGGTCTATTCTCTCTTTCTACTGTGTGGGTCCTGGGGATCAAACTCGGGGCCTTAGGCTTGTCCACAAGCACCTTAATCTGCTGAGCCAACTTGTCGGTCCAGGGATTTGTTAGAGTAAGGGCAAACTGACTAATAATATCCTTGCTAGAATACAAGAGTGGGTGGCCATATAGTCTTCATACAGCATTCAGGAGGCTCTCCGTGAGTTTGAGACCAGCCTGGTCTATGAAGAGAGCTCCAGGACAGCCAGGGCTACATAGAGAAACCCTGTCTCAAAACAAAACAAAACCATGCTACTGGGATGGGATGCAGCCCAGTGGCGGGACACTTTTCCACCTCCAGCACGACAAGGCAAACACATATAAAAGCCTTGCTGGTGGTTTTCTGTAGGTGCCACATTCTTTCTCTCTCCTGGCCACAACTGTCCTTCCCTAGAGTCCAGCCCACCCTCAACAGGCTCGCGTCTATTATAAAAACCTTTCTCATCTTCAGGGTAGCGTGAGGGCTCCCTCCTCTGCTTTCTGACATGAGCTCAAGGAAGAGTCACCACTGTCTGCCCAGGCCACTGTGGCCACGCTTCTCGCTGCCCAGCCACACTTCCCTTTGACCTGCTCTTCTTTTGACACAATCCCTGGATTAGGCCATCCTTAGAATCTTGCCTATCCTCCACGCATCTTGAATCGCTTTCACTCTCGAAAAGATGTTCTCTCCCTCCCTCAACTTCAAGCTACCGCACACTGGAAGCTTTGCTTGTCACCTCATGTTCCTGTCCCCACATTACAGTTTCCCCGGACATCCTCTCAGAGGGTGTGCCTCCTAGCTCTCAGCGCCCAGCACCTCCAGCTCACACTCTCACAGGCCTCCTGTGCAAAATCCCTTAAGAATCAATAAAGGGTCATTTGGCTTGGTCCCTCATGATGTTATCTGGTGAAGAATAGGTGCTCAGTTGGTATTTATTGCATAACAAGTGCAGGAAGAGCTGGCAAGAGGGAACAGCATTTCTTCAAAGAACGAGACAGACCTCTGTAGAAACCAATCGCTCCCAATTTAGTTATCTCATCTGCCTCTCCGACCAGACCAGGGGACACCAGCCCTACCTGGCCTGCCTCCGTGGCTCCATCCCAGGAGTTCCACCCTGCCCCACCCATCAGATCCGCCCCGCCCACCTGTCCCTCAGACCCCGCCCCTCGGACTCCAGCTGGCCCCGCCCCATCCCGCTAGTCCCACCCGATCCCCACCAGGCCCCGCCCCCAGCGACTCCACCCTGCCCCACCCACCTGTCCTGCAGGCCCCGCCCCGCCCCTCCGGCCCGCTCACCTGTACGCCCAGGGCGAGACGCTGCGCAGGTTGGTGGGCGGCCGGAAGCGGCGGTCGGCGGGCCTG